GCAGGGGTCATGCAAAATGAATGAAAACAGCATGCCAAATTCAGAGATGATGTACATTAGAGTAATTTACACTTCAATTAAACAGCACAATTTGCATAATAAGGGGCTGCAGTAAAGAGCTAGTAGCAGGGGTAGTAACCTAGATTTTACCTTAGGATTGTTTGCACTTTTCTGCTCTGACCCCATCCTGTCACGTAGAAAGTATAGTGAATTATTCAAATAGCAGCTTCTACTATCATCATCTCCTCCTAAGTCAATAAGCCATAGGCTTCAGAAGCAATGCTTTTTTTATAAGTGTCTAATAGAAACAGGAAATTTCTTTTGTTTATCAGTTTTGGCAATGTCGTACTAGAGGGAGACCCCAAATTCCTAAACTAATAACTTCACTTAGAACAAAAGAACCAGAACTGTAAGATTATAGAGCTATACTCAAGGAGGTTCCAGTGGAAACAGAAACTAGTTCTCATGATTTGACATATGCTACTAGCAGCCTTTCTACCCTTTTAAGGCATCATACCCCTCTGTAGGGACTTACCTATTCTAGAGATGAAAAGATCAGGACTACCACATTACAGTTTGTATAGATTTAAAAATCTTGAACATATATTGAATGATGCCATTCAAAGGTTCGTATTAAGCTATGTTAATGATCCAACTCAAAATTATTTACAAGCTGAATATTTTGTGTCATATTTTCCATGAGTCATGTAAGACTTACGCCTGGTTCAGGCAACTATTTAGCACATGGTTTTTTCTAGGTTCCGTCCACTCTCGTCACTACACAGACAGGATTAGCTTATGTGTGTTTTTCTTTCTTTCTGTCTATATTCTCCACCTTGTATCAGCTCGAATCTACAGCAGCTGATACAACAATTTGTATGCAATGAGATGTTTCAGAGCAGCATAAATTGTGTATCATACAATACAGCAGCAAGCACTGGCCAATGGCTCTGCGCCTCAGAGTCATCACTGACCTTTGCTTCCAGACTTCAGGAGATGGTGTCTGGCCAGACAGGCAACAGGATTACAGAACACAAGGGATTACAACACACTGTCTTAGTTCACCACAACGAATCTTTAAGAATGCATTAAACACTGTTGCTCTTCCATTAAGTCAATCAAAACCTAATAATTTTAAATAGATAAAACAGCAAAGTTACTGCTGTTGGTAAACTTTCAAAATACCACACAATTTTGAACTAAGCATTTGGTGTTTTGAAAATGAGGCTCAGGGGCCTTTTAAAAACAACAGAAATCTTTTCAAGTACAGAATCAAAAAATATCTTCATTTTTCTGTTAGTCCATGCTAGAGCATGAGTCTAAGGAGGAATTTCATCAATAAAGAAATAGTTTCATTTTCTCCATGTGCCAAATAAATAAAAGCAATTTTAGAAAATATATTTAAATGCTAAAAGATAATAAGAAGATTTCTCATTTATCTGGCTTGATAAATCTGCCATGGAATGGTTGCACTCACCAAGGGTAAGTGAGGCAAACAAGATTTTCTTTTTTTAAATCCTCTCATCTATTATTCTCAAAACGTACTCTTTTAATTTTCAATTATCTACCTAGAGTTTTTTTTATTAAAATTATTTTTAAATCTGCTTTGTACCTGAAGGCAAAACTCAAGTGAGTGATGTGTATTTTAAAAAGAAAACTGGTTTGTCTTTTCTCTTAATCCTGACATCAATATAGTACTTCTTTATTTAAAACCATAACGATTTTTTGGTATGTCTCTTCCTTTAAGTCTCACACTGCTCTTGATGTACAGTGTGCCCTTAAAAGAAACTGATTTGCACTGTGAAAAAAGTGAGTTTTACATCTAAGCTACAAATCATGAAGCAAGTTAAAAAAAGAAGCAACACTCTCGGTAAAAAGAGTATAGAAGGAATTCTTCACTTTATATGAATGACAGTGCCTAGAAATACTCCTCATCCTCAAAAGACTTTTGTAGGAAAAGTAATTTTTGGAAAGTACTTAATGCGTTTTTATTCCAAAAATTTTCTTGTGATTTTCTCTCAACTTATATATATATATATATATAGCAGGAACTACTGATGGTATAGACAACTTGATTGATGTAACCAAAAGAATTTATAATTGCTCTGCCTTTAGACTACCATTTCAGCATTTAGACATTTTCCTTTTCTACTCAGCGTGTCAATAGAAGCCTTCTCTCTCCTTCACCTACTGGAGCAGCTAAGAAATATAAGACCACGGTGTAATACTATTTTGGCAGCCTCTCTGATATTCCCACAAGCTGAGAAGCAACCATGAAACAGCCCGCTACTCTTGTGAGTGGGGAAAATCAGGAATGGAATTACAGTCTGAAAACAAAGGTCACTGTTTCATCTACCCTCAGAAGAGTACAATATAGACTGAGAAATCATAATTTATAGCATTTTTAATGCTCTTTTTAATTCTCTATAATTTTTAAGACAACTTTTATATACTTCTGATACATTAAAGGTTACAAAACTCCACTTTTTTTCCCTGTTCTTTTTTTTCTATATATTTTTTTGCTCTTGCTCAGATCTCATAACTGATAGTTAAGGGAATATAGGATTCTCAAAATCTAGTTCTCATTGCTATAAACAACAAAAGTATCTAAATCTAAAAACAAAATGTACAGATGAACAGAAAACATTCTTTAAGGAAATAATACATGGCAAAATCATAAAGTCATGCAACTGTATCTCTGAGAATTCTGTTGTATATCCTATTCCATACATGAACTGCCTTACCAAAAGATCCTACTAAATAAGGACATTAAGTACTCCACTTCTTTGGCAGTACAGTGGATTACTGACCTGGGCAAGGAAAACTGTCCTTGTGCCATCATTTTCAAATGGAAAAAAGAAAATCTCCATTTCCTTTTCAGACTTTCCTCATCACACAATCTTCTCTAAGGACATCAGAAAAATTAGGGATGTTTTTACAAGCCTATGGCCTTTCCCACTCCTGAAGACTTGAAATAGATTGTTTAGCAGTTCAGAAACTTGCTTACACTTTTTTTTTTAAATCCAAATTTTCATGGAAGAAGGGAAAATCCAAGGAGTCCAGGGTAAAAAAATGAACCCAAAAAAACAGTAAAACACAGATGAGTACACTGAAATATCTTCCCAATGCCTTAAACAAAATTGTTCATAAAACTAAAACAAGATACTGCTTTCCATTTTTAAATTGAAGTTTTCATGGGGAATTTTTTTTTCAAGCCTGGAATGCAGAATCTCTTGTTCCTTCATTACACCAGCTGTTTATCACACTATGTCCCAAATCCACATATGAGCCTTTTCCACTCCTTGAATACCTTAGCTATCTCTTCTGGTTTGGAAGTCAAAGTTCAATGAAAGCCAGTATTAATTAAGCCTTTTGTTCCCATAGATACTGCTTTTGAAAATTTGACCAACAGATCAAATTTTTGACCAACTCAGTCAAATTATTTCACCTGAAAATTACCTATTTCACTACCAGGATTTCAACAGAACACTAATGAGAACACATCATCAAGTATTTATGCAGAAGGCCAAAAGGGTAAAATGATTGTCATTAATGTTAAAATTGCTACATTTATTCTTCTTATTATACTTAATTTTAAAAATTCAATATTACATATTTATTCAAATTAAACTTGTTTTTATGATTTTTATCCTTCCTCTGTCCTCATAGAGGGTAATACAATTAAATCATAGACCTGACTCCAAGCTCTCCAGATACACAACTTTTAGTGAAGTAGATGAAAGAGACATTCAGCACCCTTAAGAACAGGAAAAAAAATTATACTGCATTAAAAAAATTAAAAATCAAATCAAAAGTAAATGCTCCTTTCTTTAAAAAAAAAAAAAAAAAAAAAAAAAAAAAAAAGAAAGTCAAAGCTCCTTTCTTGCAAACATGAAAAATAAAATGCAGTTAATTCTCTACAGATGCCCATTCTCCAATTAACTTGTAGCAAAAACTTCTGTTGCAAAATTTTATCAGGAAAAGACACAATTAACTGGAAAACTGCAGCTTAATTAAAAAAAGAACAAGCAACTGTCTGTTAATGCATCGTTCCTTTAAGATACTCCTAATGCTACATTTAAGAAGTAAATGAGCTGCTACACAATTACAGGGGGAAAATAGTACAATTATCACAGAGATAACTTGGGTGGACAGCCTACAATTTTTTACTATGTTAGATAGGACTAGTGAAAGAATAAATCACAAATGAACTGACATCAAGGATCAAATGCAGTAATTCAAGAGAAGCATTAGGCCTTTCCCAGAAAACACTTAAATGGGCAAAATTAATAACAACTTCAATTCCCAATTCTAGCAATATTCTGTCTTGTATTTACTTTTCTCTCTTCTCTCTGCAGAAAACCACATTTCACACAGTGACAGAGGAAAACTAGCAGGTCCTTTTCCTTCTGAAAAAAATTGCTTGCAATGTATTTTTTAAGTGTGTGTATGACTTAGTATATATTTTTAGTCAAAGCTCTTGAAAAGGCTACAGTGTCAAATAGAAATGCTTTCAAATTAAAAGCCAATGGCCAACTAGCAAACTATGCTGAAGCACAGCTGCATTTTAGAGAAGTCAGTCCTGCACTTAATGGGCAGTTTCTTAAAGGAAATCTGAACAGCCCTTATCACAATGGTGCCATAACATTTTACACAGGCTGAAAATCTCATGCTGCTTTTGCCAAAAAATGCACAGAATAAATCCATATTTTTAATGTATCTTTAGTAAAGACTTAACTACAGCAATTTTCAAAGCACCCTTAAAAACCTCCAAAATAAATGTTAAGACATGTAAAATAAAACACAAAGCGGGAAAAATAGGTGACCTTTGTATTCTTTTCTTCCCTTCTCCTAACTCACAAGTTGTACAGGTGTGATTCATGCACAGTAAGCCAAGAAGGAACACATTTTTCACGACTTGTAATGCTGGACACCTGTAAGAATTGTTTTAATGGAAGTACCTTTAAAGGGCACGAAAATTCTTCCAGAAATATGCTTACCTCTTCCAGAGCAAGGCAAATTAGAATTCCCTTGGCATTTCTTAGTGCTTTCTTCAACTGACATTGGACATGAATGTGGATGTTCACATTTTTGCCCAGTCCATCCTTCTTTACAGTCACATCTTCCACAATTACACTGTCCATGACCTTTATAATGAATACAATTAAAGATTAACCTCCACTCTGATGAGGTATAAAAAACTCCTAATTGGATGAACTTTATCAAAGTTGGGGCTTCATTCAGTAATGATACTGGCAAAAAAATACAACCAAACGACTATATCTACTTTTGTTTCTGAAAAACCATTCAATTTGAGCCATATTCCCTTTTCTGCTTTTTGCTTAAGGAATGTTTTAGCCGCTGCACACATGATTGAATGCAAAAGGGTGAAAGAGAGATTAAAAATACACATTTCACCACTGTTTGGAAAACTGCAATGTCATAAGGCAATATCTAATTTATTTTTAGGTTCTTTTTCTACCATGGTTACAGCATATTCTCTAAGAAATATACCAACAGTATTTTTTATCTACTTGCAGTTAACATGATCCACTAGAGACAAGCATTGTCACTTCAATTCCAAGCCTCAAACCAGTGCCTTCTACTAAACAGTTATATACAAATACTAAAACAGTGAAATATTGGACATAATCAAGTCTCATTCCAATAGGACAGTTGGATGTGGTTTTTGGTATCTATATATCTTTATCCTCTATATAAATGCAAACATGTGCAAGTTTTCTTGAGCTTTTCTCAAGAAAAACCAAGAAAAAAAAATATTTGTCCTTCTCTCTCTTGATGCTCTTTGTAAAAAGCATTGAGATTCTGGCAATGCAAAACGTACCTGAGAAAAGCCTGAGAATCTGCAAAACAACATTCCTTGCCACAAAATCAAATATCTATTTTCATGAGCTCAGACAGTAGTTTAGATCCATCACAATTTTCACACAGTCATCATTCATTGGACCCAGGACCAAAGCATGCTCCCATGTCCACATTTCTATCCATGTTCTTCTTGAAAACCATAGTAACAGAGATTTCATATCTCTTTTTAAGCATACTTGCCCTTTAGTACCAATTTATAAAGCATATTTATTTATTAGTTCATAAGGAGAAAATGGGAGGAAGTAATCATTCTAGGTGTCATCAGATTACTTCCTAGAATACAAGTCTTACTAATTTCACAAAATAACTTTTTCTTTACATTAGTTATTTGTTTTCCTTGAAAAGCATACAGGCTTCCTATTGTTTAGCAGATGAGTTTAGATTAGATTATTAGGTAGAAATTCTTTACTGTGGGGATGGTGAGGCTCTGGAACAAGTGGCCTTAGAGAAGCTGTGGATGTCTGCACCTGGAAATATTCAAGGGAAGCCTGGATGGGGATTTGAGCAACCCAGTCTACTGGAAGGTGTCCCTGCCCATGGCAGTGGTTGGAACCAGGTGATTTTTAAAGTTCCTTCCAACAAAAATCATTATCTGATCTCATGATTCTTTCCTTTGCTTTCATGTGTACCTGCTGACAAGTTGTGAATTGGATTTATGATCCCTGACCCAGACAGATACTTATAGGAGGATTAGGTACTTTCATACAATAGTTTCTTTGCTAAAGCCACAGCAAAGGAGCTAATGAAATGTGTGAACATACACATTTTCTTAATGGAAGCTTGTTTTCTTTCTGTGTCAAGTCATGAAAGCTATTATCTCTTTAAACGAAGATAATTACTTTAATGTCAAGAAGACTTCAGAAAGACAATAATTCAGGAATATTCTGAATGGTACTTCAGGTGTTAAAAGAAGGCATCCAGTTGTCAATTTGATGTACTGTGAAATAACAGTCACCTCAAGCCATATGAAGCTTCTGGAGGGAGCTGCCCTTGTGGATGTTAAATCCTCACATTAGGACTGTCAACTCCTGTCATTTGTATTTTATTAAATAAACATGGAATTTCATTCAGTCACAGTAAAACTCTTTACATTAAAACAGGATTTCCTATAATTCCTCCATGCGACTCAGGACAAAGTGGTTTTCTGTCTCTACCTATTAGGTAGACAAAACAAGACAAGAAAATTTTGTATCATCTCTGATGAAGATTTCAAGAGATGGATTATTTTCCCTAATCTAACTAATTACTCTTGGATTCATCCCAAATCAATTTACAAATAATTGTGAGAAACAATGAGGATATTTTGCAGATACACCTAATGCATGTACACTTTGTGCAGCAAGTAAATTTATTTCATACAAGCAATTAAAAAACCTGTCCCACTACAATTTCTCTGTTAATTGCATATTCTGCCTACCACAATAAACCAAAATTAAAACTTATGCATCTTTTCTATTTCTGAAACAAGACTAAACAGCAGGACTGGAAGATATTGTTCACATTGCTTCATGTGCAAATGGATTTTTTTGCACAATCTATTTTAGGAATGTATATTTGGATGGCCAGCTAAGACTAAATTAGACTTTTCTAAAACATAATGGAAAGGGAATGGATAAAAATAATTAGTACTAAAATTTTTGATGAGTAGATGGAAAAATAAAACTATACTTCAACTTGAGTTTTAGTCACATTAAGCACGTCATACGAGTCCCTCCTTTTATATCTAAGTTTTCCTTGTTTACAGTTATGTCTGAGTAATAAAGAACAATATACCAGTATTTAATCCAATGCCAAATGGCAATATCTTCCCCCAAGCTCCTTTGTAACTGTCTGTGCATTCTTATCCTCTGCTTTCTTACAACCATTACCAACCTGGGCAGCAGCAGCTGCAAAGGCATTAATGTCCAGGAAAGGGGGAATTTAAGCATGACTTTTTCTTATACAGCATTAGTTGTAGATGCCACAGGTATGCTTTAATTTAATTCCGTTTGAAACTCTTGTGTTCACTGTTAACAACAGAATGCATTTACCTTGTTCTAAATGCTTTGTAGCTTTGCATTCTTTAGGAGATGCTGATGTTTTGATTAGTCCCCAAGTGCTAAAAACCCTGACAGTAACAGAGTGGGACATTCAAAAACTGACAACAAAGTCAATCTTCCTGCTGCTCTCAGGACTTCGTGACTGCACACAGCTCTACATCATTCTAGTTTACTCATTAAATAAACCATTAAATAAATGTATAATATCTGCAAGGGGTTGAACAGTAACTAGTAAATTAAGTCACTTAAGTTTTTGGAAAAGCTTCTTTTCCCATTTTATTAGCTAGCAAATCCTCTAAAATTATTAAAAACAAAACAAAAACAAAACAAAAAAAAACCCACAAAAATATCCCACAACTGTTTAGAAACTTTTCACTTTTTAAACAGGCAAAGAAAAGGCTGAAAATTTTATTTATCATACTGGTTTCAGCTTTCTTTTTCTGTTACAGACAACTCCAATGATCTTTCTATGGGACATATGTCACTCTAGGAATAGGAGGAAAATATATTACATCATCATTAATCACCTTGATGTGACTGCATTTTTCCTGTTATTAATTAGGCCAGATCAGATTTCTACAGGATGCATTGAAGCTGATATCCTCCAATCTGTAAAGTCCCTTTGAAATCACATTCATTTGCTTTAGGAGGATTTCTGTGTGTACTAATTGCATGCTGTATTGAACAAAGTCCTTCTCTGCTGCCTAGTATTGGCATCTTAGCATCCACACAAAATTGCATGCAAGGTCTCTCCCAGAATCTCAGCTTTCGTTAGCTGGTACATGGAACATCTAAGCTGCAAAGCCATGGATTGATGGATTGGTGGATGTCAACTATTTTGAGTATAATGCTCACAAGTCCAAGTAGAAGAAAAAGGAAGATGGATGTGTCTAAGATGTACAGCTGAGGGTACAGCTACAGAAGGGCAGCTGAGCCACATATTCATATTTTTCAAGTATTGATGCTCTACTTGTTCTTATGTCAATTTGTATTCTCAGGGGACTGTTTTTCATTGACTCATTTATTTACTCTTCCTTGAATTTCTTCTTCTTGATTATCATCTCCCTATCATATAAAATGAAATAACAAACATAAGCTGATCTAATGAACTTTTAAAATCAAATTTTCCCAAGAAAGGATATATGTATATTTTTAATTTTCAACCATTATCCAATTCATGTTAGGTTACACTGAACACAAGGATATTAGAAGAGAGATGGGCACCTAAAAGAAACTAATACTTAACAGGATTTTGTTACATGGCATGAAAAAAAAAAAAAGCAGAATTATGTTTTTAATTTAAATAGCCCCCTCCTGCCACCCAAGCTTGACATGTTTTAAGATAGGAAAATGAGAATTGGAGCAGACCAGATCTGACCAGTTGGAAGGTTTTTTATAAAACTACACCTAAGTCCCCTATATACACAAACCTTACCTGAACAGAAGTCATCAGAATATCTGTCATACACTGCTTTGCAGTTTCTTTCATCACACTCACAAGTATCTCCATGAATATCTCCCCAGTCACCAGTTGGGTCCACATCATGGCATGTACATTCCCCACATACACATGTGCCTAGAAGGGTAAAAAAAAAAAAAAGACAGTTAAAAAAGCACCAAAAAATAGAAAGTGACACAGAGATAGAAGATTAACTGTGTAATTTAGAGTAACTTTGATTACAGGAATTTACACTTGTGAATTTTCAGCTTTCACAGAAATGCAATTTCAAAGTGATAATGCAATTTTGCAAGTGATAATCTTGAGTGTGTGTTCATCTTCTATTATTTGAAACCTTCTTAATTTTTTAGTAGCAATAATTTAAACAAATTGGCTTCCTCTTCATGTTTATTTTTGCTCTTGAGCCTTGCTAGGAGTCAACAAAAATATAGCTCACAGAACAGTTGTACATCTTTGGGATCAACAGTAATTTGCCCTGTCAGTAATGACAATAAAAATCAATTCTGTTTAAATGACTTGGGCTTGGGCACAGGGGATAATTAATGGTTGTTAAAGCATAAACATTTAAACTACAAGAGAATCCAAACTAACACAGCTGAAAAAGTCTAGGAGGTCATTCTTTACCTAAGAAGAACAGCAGCACAGATCTACATGAAAGGATACTTGTCCACTTTCCCAAGTCAATATTCAGGACCACACCCATTGTTTATAATAAGAAGAAATTTGAGTAACAGAAAACAAATTTGCATATTTTACTAATATGCAGAGAATATGCATCCTACTTATTAAGGAAAATCTGAACAAAAACCCCTAATCAAACAAAAAAAGATATTTTCCTTATTCAGAAATTCAAATATGCTTCAGGGAGCACACTCATTACTTTTTTGAGATACTAAAGGCTCGTAGAAGCAGCCTGACCTTACTGATGCACACAGTTCATTTCTTGCAGAGTGTCTTCATCTTCTGTTACTCTGCTAACACCGTTGCCATCTTATTTAGGTTATTCTAAACAATATAATATAATATTTGAGGGCACCAGGACAGGATGACTAAACAGTACACATAGATATAGGCACATTCTCTAATAAAAGGAGCAGGTCTACACAACCCAGCATGCATGATATGAACACAAAAAGCTGCTGCCCTCTATTCTGTTAAAAACCCTGAGACAGCCCTCAAGAAATTTGTGCCTAATTTTTTATAGTTTCACAATTCAGTGACATTACTGAAGAAGAAAAAAACCATTCAACCAACAAAACAACAAACAAACAGAACAAGGAAATGCCTCTGGAGAGTGATTAATCCTCCCAGAAACAACTTCAGAGTTAATTTAGATCAGCTGTCCTGAATGTCAGAATGCAGAACATAATCCCAACAAAGTTTAAATATCTAAATTTTCACATGTGCTCTAAACTGGTTGACTAGATAGTCCAGGGGAAAAGATAAGAACAATTTATCCATCTTAGCTGAAGGAGGGTGAGCATCAAGGTTTGCCTTAATATTTGATTTTTAGAAAGCTCAAGACTGACAAGATGAACCGTACTTATATCACAAGATGTATAAGTACAGAAAATTGGGTGAGTAGGACCAAATGGAGCAGAAATACCTTGTTGGAAAGTAACTTCACAATATCAGAAGCCTACGAAATTCTTATGAAGATTAAATCACAAATACATGAAAGGCTAAAGGCGTGGAAGTATCACATAAATGTACTTTTGTATTGGAGGTTGCAGCTACTCAGACTATCAGCAATGCTATTCACACAATTTCTCCTATTGCAATGCCAGTTTAAAGAAATAATCGCACATTAAAATTTCAAATTTGATTAAAAGCTTGCTTTGACAAGAAATTCTTTGCCAAGAAATTACTTTCTCAGTGCAAAGAAAGCATCTGATATGAAGATACTTTGATATCTATTATTTCCAGAACTACACAAAAATTTTATGCTGAAGTCCCGCGACTAAATGAGCCTACATGATCTCTGCATTTGAGCCAAACTTTCAATTTCAGCCTAATCATGAGAAGAGAGTTTTCTAAATGTTCTCTTGATGACTAGATGTTCACAATACAGCATGTTTTTTCAGTAGAGATGTTTTTAGGAGAGGTATCTATGTGACTCTTGCTTATGTATTACTATAATTATTCTGGTCTATTGCCAAAAAAACCACTATTTTTTTAGCTCCTTGTTCACAGCAGCTAGTGAAAAGCAACCTTATTTTGTGGGGTTTTGTTATTTTCTTTTTTTTTTTTTTTCCCAAAAAGGCAAAATTAGACAGAAGTATAAGGTAAAATTCAAATTCCAAAACTGTGTGCAGATAAAACCTTATGTAGTTAGAGAAACTGTGTGAAGTCTACTTTTCCATCTCTATACATTCCACAGCATTGTTACACACTTCACAGGTGTTTCTTGGTTGTAGTGGAAATTAAATGCTTCATGTTTTCATTTTCCCGATGCCACTGTGGGAATTGACATATAGTTCTGTGACCTTACAGCACCAGTCCATTCAAAGTCAAAAATCTGGTAATATTTTATTTTGCAAACTAAACCTCTTAGCAAAACAAATAGGCACGAAATACCAAATTATTCTTCTCAGTTTACTACAAAAATAAAGAATGGGAACAAGTGGAGTTCGCTTAATCAAGAAGTGGATGTGGATTTGTGTAAGTTTATACCTAAACACAGGTATCTGCCCAGTTGCAAGTGTCTATCCAGAGCTGAAATGGGTGAGAGCAAGTAGAAACTCAGCAAACACAGTCTATGTCCTACTGTAGAGAATGCATAGAGTGAAATAAAAGCCAACTATAAACACGTGTAGAAGGTCCATGCAAATGACACACCTCTGTTGCTGCAGATTTTGCCATCTGGAGATGTGCATCTTTTCTTGATCTCCCAGGGGGTGATGTCACACTGGAATTCACATTTATCTCCATGCCAACCAGCCTCACAGTAACAGTTTCCACAGTAACACTTTCCATGGCCTTAAGCCAAAACAAATTTTGTACAGGGAGAAAGAGGCAAGTTTTTAAAAGGCATTATCAATTTAACTGTTTTTATATTTTCCTTTAAAAAGTTTTACTGCTAGACTCAGAATAGAAACAATTTATAGATCATGTATGAATACATAAAATCAGACAAAGGAAATCAGAACTATACTTTTCCCCTCTATTTTAGAGGGGGATTTTCCTTTAATCATAGATTAAATCTAATCAAGAAACACTAATAGACAACATAATTTTTATACTTGTAAACTTTTTTTTTTACTTTATGGGTAATTTTTGAAGACTGTAATAATTAAAATTTAAGCATAGCTTTACACATCAAGGTAGGACACATACTTGGCATGTCTAAGAACACCTTGTGTGTTCTTGACTCCTCAACTACCTGAAGTAAAGACATTTTGATTTATTACACACTGACTATGTTGTATATGGCTTCCCTTCTTCTTCCCCTTTGTCAAGAAGATTTTCAACATGGCTAAACCAGTTCATCAAGGAGACTTCTTTTCAAAATTCTTTCAGATGTTCATTTAACAAAATATACATATCTCAAAAAAGATGGTTGCATCATCTGGGTGAAACCAGATCCAGAATATTTTCATCTGCTAAGGCACATGTGCCATGTGCTTCAAAGAACAAAGCTTTTAAATTAAGTAGTTGCAATTCTTACTAATCTTAGAGCCAAAAGTTAACTCTTTAATAGTAGGATCAAATCAGGACCTTGTTCTTTCTTCCTTTGAGCTTAGTAGACCTGGCCAGCTCTATCACAATCTGGTCAATTTATAGTCTTGATAATTAAGACTGCAAATTATTGAATACAATTTTTCCTGTTTTTTGCATCTATATATGGAATATTCATTACATTTGGTTAAATGTGAAAAACCAATTAATTTAATTAAATAATACAACATAGAGAATAAAAAATAATTATTATGAAAAGGTTGATTGTGAACAGTAGCAAAAAAGAAGAGGAAAAATACTAAAGGAGTATAATGATTTGATCTAGAGGCAATTTTCACAGATTAAAATATCAATACTTCATTCTTCACTCACACTTTGATACTTCTCAGATAAATATCAATTAAATGATAAAATTTGCCTCTGGCTCTTGGCAGGAGAAAAAAATCACTCCCTTAGAGTAAAAAAGCTTTAGTTTAAGAAAAATACCAGGACCAGAATTCAATTTTAGCTAGAAGATATGATACTCTCAAAAATGAGTTGCAACTTGACTCCAAACCTCAAATAAAAAAGTGATGGTTAATTGACTGATAAAGTTTCAACTGAAGTCAAAAAAAACAAGACTGGAACACTCTTGTCAGCATATGGACACAATTTGCATATGTGTAGCTTGAACAATGTTTGTAGTACCTTCCAGCTCAAGGACAAGCCTCCTTCTCAACATAGGCAACAGCATTTATAATACCATAAATGGTGTGTATTGCACAATTTTGAATTGCCAGGTTCCTGCCTTATAATGACATGAAAGAACAGTTTGAATTTTGGTTCTTTTCTATCCATCAGCAGAGTTCATTCCATCTTATTTTCCTGCCTTTCCTATCACAGATTAAATTCATTATTCATTCCTTTCTCTTCGTATCTTCCTGATTTTATCATCCTACATTTATTCCTGGTATTTTTAATTTTTGCTTCCTTGACAAAATTCCTAATAATCTATTTCCTGGGGTTTTTTTTTTCATATGTTGTCAATTCTGCTCTCTCTCATATGTGCCACAAAGCATTCACATTCCTCATATAGTCTACTGAAGACAGACACACTAAGCTATGAATTACCTTAGTGAATTATCTTGTACAATCCTCTTTGCAGTTCTTCCCAAAAGAGGAGAATGTCACAGGATTTATTCATTCTTTAACCTTTTGGTTAGCTCATTTTTGCATCTGAAATTTGCACTTAGAATTTGCAGTGTGAAGTCTTGCAAAGAGAGTTACTTTTATTTTAAGTCATATATTCAGTAAAGATATTTTGTAGAACCATGCAATTAAATAAGAGCCTATATTAATCATCTTCACTCTTCTTGCAGTCATTAACATACATACCTGTACAAATCTCTCCTGTTTCATCATCAATGCATTCTCTGTCATCACATTCACAAAATTTGCCATATACAAGTCCATTTTCTTCTGAGTTAGCACATTGGCACCTGCCACACTGACATGTGCCTGTAAACATTTAAGAAACATTACCCAATGATTGCAGATTATAGAAAGAGTTTCATTAGTGTGTCAGAGATGGTACATATTTTATTTCTGAGAAGGCTGAAATCTGAAGATCATCCACACAAATAAAGACAGTCACAGAAATTATCCATATCAACAAAAAGCCTAATCTTAGCTGTACAGAGATAGAGCATTCAAGTGCCTTGGAAGTGTAAAGCTGTTGTTTTTTTTTTTCCACAGAATAAACCACACAAAAAAACAAACAAACAAAAACAAACAAACACTTTCTGACATAATGAAAAGCCAGAGCACTCAGGCAATGCAGTAAAGGATACAAATGGATTTGTAACCAGATCTCTGCTCATCATGTCACACATTTGCTCCTTGGTGTTTTGAGGGGAGTTGCCCCTCAGCTCAGTGGCTCCCTCCTTCCATGACCTGCCCTCCGGAATAGGAGGAAATTCTTTTATTGCTCCCTGAGAAAGAAAAATTCCATCTTTTCCCTCAGAGGGTCTATCTGACCTGAGATCATAAATGATTGTATGAATGAGTTCCACAGTCAAAAAAAAAAAAAGAAAATCACAACTACATTAAAATGACATTAGAAACAAAAGTATTACTATGCCACTGATATAAAAAAAAACCTTGTCCCAACCTTTTATAAAATTGAAAGGGTGGGAACTTTGTGCAATATTATATTACTGGGGCCTTGTGGTCAGTGGTCTCCTGTGAAGACTGGGGCCACTTCTAACCAAGGAAAAAACAGGCTCTTTTTTAAGACCTTTGACTAAGTAGAATGAACTATACTTAATTTTGAAAGTCAGAGTCTCATTTAGCTATCTCTCATGGCTCTTTCAATAGCAAGTTTCATATATCTATTGTTAGAAATTGAGTATATTATTTACTCAGTATGCTGCGTGCTAATAGGTTTACGTTAAACTGGTTTCTTACCCTGTACTACCTTCTCTCTAACAAGTCCCACAAATCCTTGGGATTCTTTGCTCATGTTAGCAATTAATTTGTGAGAAATTTACTTGTGTGGATTCCAACAGAAATTAAAGCAATAGTAAGCAGAAGTGGCATTCTTGAAAAAATTTTCCACTTGGAGGTCAATGTTTTAGAAAAACCAGAAGGCAATTTCTGGTCTCAAAACTTAATTGGTAGAAAATGCCCTTTAAAATGGTACCATTCTTCAATGAGGTTTTCTAAAAGGCCATTTGGTTTACCTCTGTTTTTTGTTTTTTTTTTAGGAAAAGACCTATTTAAGTTAGGATGGTCATAAAACTAAACAATTAGAGAAGAGAGCATTACCAAATCAGAACAGTGAAGATGGAAATGCTCCTTTAAATGGTTCAACACATCTTCTACAACTGATTTTAATAATCACAGGTACAACTCAAAAGTGTCTCAAGAAGTTGCACAGCTTATAAATGTCCAGGAAAAATATTTAAAAGTGTCATTTCTGCATTCTGTAAACACAAACACTTGAAAGAAATTACATCATCTTCTGTGTTAGTAGCATTACAACTACATTCTGATGAGGAAAATAAATGACACAGTTGCAGTTTCATCAACACAAAACAGCTGTAGATAAATCAGAGCACTAAAGTAGGTGTTCCTAATCAGTGTACATTATATGCACAGAAATAAGCCTATAGGAAAATTAAACATTTTAGTACGCCTACAGCTACATCTCAGTCTCTTGAAACATACTATACAAAATTACTACTTAGAAATCACAGTGATTCTCAAGATAACACTGGGAGAGCACTAAGGTATCAAAAGTAACAAAAGACATCTTACCTGCACCAGAACAGATGATATCTTGAGAATTCTTGCACATTTCATTGCTTTTCCTCCGTGTAAGATTGCAAGTAGCTGGATACTGACAAGCTTCACCATACCAGCCTTCATCACATTTGCACTTCCCACAGTCACACTTTCCATGGCCTAGCAAAAGAAGGAAAGAGTGTGTCAAGACCCTTCTTTTCTCATTCAGAAAGCGGTATTTTCTTATCCAGCTTTTAAAATAGATTCCATCAATTACATTTTTAAATGAACATGACTAACCGATTAACTTAACACAGTTCATATGCAATTAAAAATAGCAGGGAGACAGCCAGCACATGGCTCCACCAAGGACAAGGCCTGCGTGACCAGCCTGTGCCTTTCTATGATGGAGTGACTGCATCAGCGAACGAGGGAGGAGCTACAGATGTCATTTATCTGAACCTCTGTAGAGCATTTGACACAGACCCCCTTGACCTCCTTCTCTAAACTGGAGAGATGGGTTTGATGGGGGAGCTGTTAGGTGCGTAAGGACTCGGTTGGGTGGTCACATCAAGAGGCCAGTGGTCAACTGCACAGAGTCCTGGAGCACACCACTGACAGCTGGAGTCCCTCAGGGACCAGTACCGCAGCCAGTGTTATACTGATTATGTGTTATACTGATTATCTTCCTAATGACACAGGAAAAAGGATCAAGTGCATCCTCAGCAAATTTGCAGATGAGTGGTGCAGTTGACACACCTGAAGGATGTGATGCCATCCAGAGGGACATGGACAGGCTCAGGAAGAAGGTCCCTTGGAATCTCATGAGGTTTAACAAGACCAAATGCAAGGTGCTGCTCCTGGGTGGGGGCAACCCCCAGTATCAACATAGGCTGGGGGATGAACAGATCAAGAGCAGCCCTGCCCAAAAGGACTTGGAGGGGCTGGTGGATGAGCAGCTGGACAATTTTCACTATTTATGTTGCATACAAAGTATCATTTTTTTTACACTAACTTCCAGGAGTGAATTTTTAGTACTTCATTCTTTAGCATTTTACAATTTTAGGTAGTAAATGTGAAAAAAAAAAAATTGCATCTCTTTTAAACAGAGAATTAAATTTTAAAATAAATATCTTTTGAATATATATCTGATTACAGAATATTCCCATCTTATCACTGTATCTTAAAACCAGAATCTAATTGCAGTCTATTTTAAATGTATCTGTTCCTGTGGTTAGAATTAGCTGCCTGAAAAATACAAGCCCAGTCTACTGCCAGTAAGAAGGAGTTTAAATAACTATTGTAAATTACAATTTTAATTAGAAAAGGTTGTCTTTTTTGTTGCTCAAGAAAACTTTGCTTGCCTTCCAACATGGTCCTAAGACAAGATACAGTTTAATAGCTGTAAAAAACATAAACCAAAAACTTAAGAGACCATGTTAGTTCTTGTTTTAAAACATGAGTTTCCATCTTAAAAAATGCTGAATTGCTTCATTGGTAAAGTACAAGAAAAAAAAAAGGATATAAAATACAGAATAAAAAACCTACTCTAGCGACTATTCTGCTTCATTGACAGACAACAGCATACAACTATTCCAGAAAGTGGTGGTAAATCCTAGGTTAGCTTAGAAAAAAAAGTAAAGAAAAAACATAACCATTTTCCTTTCTTTGAAGAAAGCTTGTCACTATGACTTTGCATTTTCTATCTTAGGCACTCTTGTGATTTAACAGTTTGATGTCTGCTGGTGAAGAAAAGATATTCTAATAAAAGTAGGACTAATTTTCCCATTCCCATATCTAAATGACAGTAAGTCAGAAGACTCTGATGACAGTAAGTCAGAAGTAAGTCAGAGAGTAAGGCAGAAGTTACTTCATATCAGTTATTAGCAATGGTCCAGCAGCACTAACCTCTCTCAGAAATGCACTAATCTAACACATGATGCATGAAGGAAATAAATAATTTTACTTAAAAAGCAACACTGTTGAAAGAAAATTAATAAAATATTTTCGAGAGAGAGGTTATACAGAGGAGTCTCCTGGCTTTAACAAGAAAACACCAAAAACTGTAATTAATAAAACTTTGAGAAATAATGGAAGATCATTTTCATGCAACAGAAAGAAACTGTCAGGAATCTAACTCATATGAATTTGTAAGATTGCACACATGATTTTCACCAAAATTAAAACATATTAATTTTGCCATTTGGAATTTTTTTTAATTGCAAAGCAATGGCAATTTTCTGCCCAAAAATTTGGGTGAAAGGTCTATATTAAAATGTAGAAGTCCATAACTGCCTGCAATAGCTTGTGTATCTCCCTGCATCTTCCCTGTCACATGGATGGTGCAATTGATCTGCAAGTCAGTTTGACATAGAAATCCCTTTGCTTTTCTCCCACACCCACGTGTACCAATATTATTGCCTTCCTCATGACAAAAATAATGATGTGATAAAGTATAAACCAAGTATGCAATAAACTGTAAGAAAATTAGGGAAAGCACATAAGTTTTCTCACTGGGTTTCTTTCAGAAAGGTTTTTGTAGGATCCCATTTGTTGTGTATAAATTTCTGCATTATTTAGAAAGCAAATAATATTAGGAAATAGAAAATAAGGAGTAACTATCACTATGAAAGCTATGAGGTGAGACTGCATCTTCCCATAAATTAAATTTTAGCAATAAACGGTAGACCCAGGTATTTGAGAATGTGACACATAAGACTTCACTAAATAGTTGGTCAAGAAAGCTGCATCTCAAAGTGATGATATATTCATTCCATAAAAAAAAAAACAAACTGCAACACAAATAAATGCTAAACACAAATAAATCAGAACATCACTAAAAAACATAATCAGCAAAACATCAACAAAAAAACCAGAAAACAAGTAAATAAGGAAGACTCAAGAAAATGTAATAATTCCTTTAGGAAAAAGACTGGCTGAGGACTGAAAAACTTGCAACTTCAAACATTGGGAGAAACATTTTGTAACAAAGGGCTCAATTTCTAACTAGATGAGCAATCGCCTCAGAGAGTATATCTGGACTATGCAGGAAGCTTTTAGGGTGGAACACAAAATTAATATGCTAGAAAAACTGTCAGATGTCACAAAATATATAAAGAAAGTGAGAACAGAAAATGTTAGGCAGGGTCAGATCTTGCAAAATTTCAAGTACTAAAATGTACTTTCATCATCCAAATAAAAAGAAAACAAGAAAAAGAGTGGCTTCAAGCAGCAAAAACCAGTTAAGATTAAAGACAATTTACAGGCAGTACAAAACAAAACTAATATGGGGATGTTGACTACCAGTATCAAATGCAGTATGGCTAATGACATGCTCTCTGGAAATGAAAATTACTCATCTAAGATGAGAAGAAAACAAAGACGTGACACTATTTTTAAGAAAGTGTCTAGACCAAGAGGACAAGACCCTTTGGCTTCCATTTGACTGTACTTAAAATACTTGCACATAAAAAGGCAGTTCAGCAACAAAGACTTTTAATGAATCTATCAGGCAATCAAATGTCTAGCTTTTATTTCTTTTAGCAAAAGTAGTGTACATGATCTAGACAACATAAAAATAAATACCTGTGATCTCATGAGCTGTGCCAGGATTTGACATAAACTGTGAAGCATTGCATAGATAGAGACACTGAAGTAGTGAAAATGGAATATAATGAATAACAGCTTTACCCCAAAAAAACTGTCATTATGCCAAAATAACATGGCATATCTTTTTTGAGATTGCAATTGAATGAATATTGTAAGAAAAATAACATAGGAAATCTACGTGATAGGATCATATATATAGGACATAATGCAGCCCATGAAAGGAAAAATATTCTGGACAAAATGCTCTAGAAATGCAAAAGAATCACACAGCATAGTTTAAAGTAAGGAAAGAACACCAGGACAAAAAGGCGTATTACTGGAATAGAAGATGATGTCTGGCTATGTTTCAAATGATGTTTTTGGAACTCTCTGTGTTTAACTCTGTGTTTTACTGATCCTGATAAAGAAATTCAAATAACACAAACAACATTTGGCAATAACAAACCTGTAAATCCTCACTAGAAAGGTGAAGATGAAAGATCATACAAAAATAACTGGACTGACACCGGAAGGACTGAAGTAGTAAAAGTGGATTGAAACTGGAAATACAAGCACAAGATTACACACTAGGGACAAGGAAATAAAGTCTAATACCTCCCCAGCTGGAAAGAAGAAGAATGTGACTGCATATTGACATCAGTTCTGAAAACATGGTGTGACTAAGCCTTTAGCTGACAAGTGTCTGAGATATACCCATTGAGGATCTATCACTAGGGACAGGAAGTGGCAACAAATCTGCATTTGAAATTATTCACACAATATATAGGATATGGTCCTGAGCCCAGTTTATCCTTGAAAACCTCCATTAGGTCTCTAAACATTGGAAGACTGAGTCAAGTTATACAGGGAAAACATTTTTAGAATTTTAGCCACTTGCAGAGTTACAAGTGGTTGGGAATTAAAACATCTGAGCAGAAAGACGGTAATTTAAACCACAAGCATTTGGTTCTGATCACATACATTTCTGCTTAGACACTTGACCGCAACCTAAATGCCTTCTAAAAATATTTTTCTACTATATATTTACATGTGTGTGTGTCCAAAAGCAAAGATACAAAGGTAAAATCTCTGATAAAAAGTTCTGAATCCACATCTGCATTGCATGTATTCAGGGCACCAATCTGGAAGCCTGCTTTTGCTGAGCTCTGTGTGTAATCTATCATGAGAGACAAGCACTTCTGCAGAGTGACTCAGGTCCTGTGTGGGCTGAACAGACCTCAGAGGTTGTCTTTTTTCACTGAACTGCTGGGAAGCTGGGACTTTGGAGTTTGATGCATCGTTAGATAACTTTGCATGCAAACACATATCATTCATTTATGTTCTTTTGCTTCACTCATCTATACAATACTCAACATCAGGGTTTAAATATTCTGACATATTTTGAATAAAAAAGGAGCATGATGTCAGCTTAGTTACAGGTTAAACTGCATTGCCTTATAAAAACAACTATATTAAATAATTATTGGATGGACCAGAAACTAAGTTTGAACATTGCTTTCATTTTATGTGTTTGCAGAAATTGCAGCATTCATCAGTGCTATTGGGGTTTTTTTGCACATCTTACTGGAAAA